TGCCCTCCTAACTCTGCTAGGTTTTGACCTGATCTAAGTCTGTTTTTGCCTTGTTTTCTGAAGCAAATAAGACTTGTATCCTTAAACTCTCATTTTGTCAAAACACCACATGGTGATTGTTCACTGATTAGGGTGTCAAGCTATTGGTGCTTTGCATTTTGAGGAGTTTCTGTCGAGGCCAATCGACCGTCTCCTAAACGACGGGGGAGCGGCCAGCGCAGCCGACTTCCACTAACGAGGGAGTATTAGAAAGACTACTAGAAATCGTGGGAAGCGTTAGCTTAAGCGTTAGCTTATCCTCGCAGCACGAAGACGAGCAGAACAAAGACCAGGGAGTCTTTCGTGGTGTCTTCGGGGCGGCTGAATGCGGCGCCTTCTGCTATTCTTAATAATGTGTTTGACCCCTTTACCCGTGCCTGTTCGAATCTCTTCCCGCAGATACTACAGGCATCGGGCTAGATCTGCTCTCTATCGCAACCTCTCCTCTCTCACCTATCCCACCCGCTCCACACATGTCCAGCACCTCGTCACAGGAGGTCTCTGGAACTGCCAGTCAGCGACTCGCAAGGCTGACTTCATCTCCGGCTTTGCTATCCAGCGGTCACTCGACTTCCTCGCTCTCACCGAGACCTGGATCACACCTGAGAACACATCCACCCCAGCCGCTCTCTCCTCCGCCTTCTCCTTCAGCCACACTCCCAGGCCCACTGGTAGGGGTGGTGGCACAGGTCTACTCATTTCACCCAAATGGAGCTTTTCTCTCTTCCCTCTACCACCATCCACCCCATTGTCCTTTGAATTCCATGCTGTAACAATCACTCACCCGGTACAATTAACCATCATTGTCCTCTACCGTCCGCCAGGCTCCTTAGGTCATTTCTTGGAAGAACTGGACATTCTCCTGTCTAATTTCCCCGAAAATGGACCTCCGCTCATCCTCCTGGGTGACTTCAACATCCAGACAGAGAAGTCATCTGACCTCTTACACCTACTTTCTTCCTTCGCTCTGTCACTCAGTCCCTCTCCTCCTACTCACAAAGCCGGCAATCACCTTGACTACATCTTTACAAGAAACTGCTCTACCACTAACCTCTCTGTAACTCCACTTCATGTGTCTGATCACTTCTTCATCTCTTACTCCCTTCCACTCTCTATAACTAACAAACCTCCCTCATTGACTAACTCTATACCGGCTCGTCGCAATATTCGCTCCCTCTCTCCCTCCTCGCTGGCATCCTCTGTTCTATCAGCCCTCCCTTCAACTGATTCCTTCTCACTCTTGCATCCGAACGCTGCTGCAGAGACTCTCCTCTCAACTCTTTCCTCCTCTCTAGACTCTCTCTGCCCTCTTACGACACGACGGACTGGCAAATCCCCTCCGGCTCTGTGGCTGTGAGAGCCACCATGCGAGCGTCGGAAAGGAGATGGCGTAAACATAATCGACCTGACGACCTGCTTGAATTTCAATCTCTCCTCTCCTCGTTTTCTGCTTCTATCTCTGCTGACAAAAGCTCTTTCTACCAATCCAAAATCGAATCCTCATTCTCTAACCCCATAAAACTCTTCTCGATCTTCTCCGATCTTCTCCGATCTCCTCGAACCCCTTACCTCTCCTCCCCCATCCACCCTTCTTCCGGGAGACTTTGTCAATAACTTCAACAAGAAAATAGCTGACATACGCTCCTCCTTCTCAAACCCACCTCCTACTTCTCGCGTCCCACCGACCTCACCTCTTTCGCATTCACTTTCCTCTTTCACCGCCCTCTCTCCTAACCAAATTCTTACCTTAGTAACCTCTGCCCGTCCGACCACCTGCCCTCTTGACCCCATTCCATTACATCTTCTACAATCTATCGCACCTGACCTTCTTCCGTTCCTCACCTGTCTCATCAACAACGCTGTTATCTGGCTGTTTTCCCAATTCTCTGAAGGAGGCAAGAGTCAACCCTCTCCTGAAGAAACCCACCCTCAACCCATCTGAAGAAAACAACTACAGACCGGTCTCTCTCCTTTTTGTCCAAAACCCTTGAACGTGCTATCTTTAATCAACTCTCCTCTTATCTCCACTGTAACAACCTCCTTGACCCCCACCAGTCAGGTTTCAAGGCAGGCCACTCCACAGAGACTGCTCTCCTTGCTGTCTCAGAGCAACTCCACACTGCTAGAGCCGCCTCTCTCTCCTCTGTCCTCATCCTTCTGGACCTCTCTGCTGCATTTGACACGGTCAACCACCAGATCCTTATTTCCTCCCTTCAGGAACTTGGTGTAACAGGCTCTGCTCTCTCCCTTCTCTCGTGCTACCTCGACGGCCGCACCTACCGGGTAACCTGGCGAGGATCTGTGTCGGAACCTTGTCCTCTTACTACTGGAGTTCCTCAGGGTTCCGTGCTGGGTCCCCTCCTGTTTTCGCTTTACACTAACTCTCTTGGCGCTGTCATTCGCTTGCATGGCTTCTCTTGCCGATGACACCCAACTAATTCTCTCCTTCCCTCACTCGGACACCCAGGTGGCGGCTCGGATCTCTGCCTGTCTAACTGACATCTCCCAGTGGATGTCCGCCCACCATCTGAAAATCAACCCCGACAAGACTGAACTACTTCTCTTTCCCGGAAAAGATTCGCTTACACATGACCTGACAGTGAACTTTGGGAACTCCGTGCTAACGCCTACTTTGACCGCTAAGAACCTCGGCGTCACACTCAACAGCCAACTCTCCCTGACTCCCAACATCACCGCGACAACGCGATCCTGTAGATACACGCTCTACAACATCAGGAGAATACGTCCCCTTCTCACTCAGAAGGCAGCGTCCGCTAAATGACATGTTATGTAATGTAATGAAGTAGAGGTAGAGCTCCATCCTGGCCAGACTTTCTCCAGGACACGCCCTGCGTCCTGTGAGGGAACAGGCTTTAGTCAAGTCAAGTCATTTTATTTTGTATAGCCCATTATCGCAAATTACAAATTTGCCTCAGAGGGCTTTACAGTCTGTACACATACAACATCCTCTGCCCCGAAACCCACCATCGGCACAGGGAAAACTCCCCAAAAAATGAAAAAACCCTTACAAGAGGGAAAAAAGGGAAGAAACCTTAGGGAGAACGTCAGAGGAGGGATCCCACTCCCGGGATGGACAGACTACAATGGATGCCATGTGTACAGAATGAACAATGTATAATACATGCAATTCCTATGACAGAAATGATAGTAATGAAGTAGTTGTGAGTAGTAAGCCAGGCGCACAGCAGGACCACTGCAGGGGCAACCACCATCAGATAGAACCACAATCCACAGAAGCCTGTGGGGAGGGAGAGCACAGAGATTTTAGGAGAGGGTAATGTCGGTTTATGAGTAAAGTAATATGATTAATATCTAAAATAATGATGATGATGATGGCAGCAGCAGGCGTCAGCATGGCCACGGTAGGTTGCAGGACCAGGGTCCCGAAGGAACCACGATCTACGGAGACCTGATAGGGAAGAAAGCACAAAAAAACTCCCGGAAAGAAGCTGAATTAGTCATGTGCATTAATAAAACTTGAATTATGGTAGAACGAGAGCGTGAGAGAGGAGCTCGGTGTGTCCTAAGAAGTCCCCCGGCAGTCTAAGCCTATAGCAGCTTAACTAAGGGCTGGTCCGGACTAACCTGAGCCAGCCCTAACTATAGGCAGAATCAAAGAGGAACGTTTTAAGTTTTACTTTAAAAGAGCTGACCGAATCTGCCCCCCGGACTGAAAGTGGAACCTGGTTCCACAAAAGAGGAGCTTGATAACTGAAAGCTCTGGCCCCCAGCCTACTTTTTAAAACCATAGGAGCAACAAGTAACCCAGCATCTATGGAGCGCAGTTGCCTTGTAGGGCAATACGGTGATACAAGCTCTTAAAGATACAACGGTGCCTCACCAGCAAGTGCCTTGTAGGTGAGGAGAAGTACCTTAAAATCTATTCTTGATTTAACAGGGAGCCAGTGCAGAGAAGTTAATACAGGAGTGATATGATCCCTTTTCTTAGTTCTTGTTAATACACGTGCTGCAGCATTCTGAATCAACTGGAGAGGCTTAAGAGATTTACAAGAGCAGCCTGATAACAAAGAATTACAGTAGTCCAGTCTGGAAGTGACAAACGCATGAACTAATTTTTCTGCATCACTTTGAGACAGGAAGTTCCTGATTTTTGATATGTTACGTAGATGAAAATAGGCAGTCCTTGAAGTCTTCTTTATATGCGAGTTGAAGGTCATATCCTGGTCAAAGAGAACTCCCAGATTCCTGACGGTGCTGCTGGGTACCAGAGCAATTCCATCCATACAAACTGTATCACGTGACAGCTGGCTTCGAAGGCGCTCTGGGCCTATCAGGATAACTTCTGTTTTTTCTGAGTTTAGCATCAGGAAGTTGCCGGTCATCCAAGTTTTGATGTCTCCAGGACATTCTTGAAGTCTAACTTACTGGTCCGTCTCTTCTGGCAGTATCTGCAGTTCCTTTGATACCAATTAAATGTTCTAGTCTCTGCAACAGGATACAATGGTCTATGGTATCAAATGCGGCACTGAGGTCCAGCAAGACAAGAAAAGAGATGAGTCCTTGGTCCGATGCAAGTAAAAGATCATTCGTAATTTTCACCAGTGCTGTTTCTGTACTGTGATGCACTCGAAATCCTGACTGGAAATCCTCGAACAAAGCATTGTCTTGTAGAAAGTCACATAATTGATTTGCGACGGATTTCTCAAGGATCTTAGAGAGGAAGGGAAGATTAGAGATAGGTCTGTAGTTAGCCAACACCTCTGGAGCAAGAGTAGGTTTCTTAAGAAGAGGTTTAATTACAGCTACCTTGAAGGACTGTAGTACATGTCCTGTCAACAAAGACAGATTCATAATATCCAATAAGGATGTGCTAGACAATCTGAAAAGTATATTATCACGCTAGAATTGGAGACAGTTGTAGTACAACTTGTGGCAGGTTCGTCTAATGGGGGGGTCTCGGAATGACGAGCACGCAGCAATTGGGTCCATTATGTATAATTTTATTCAGTCGTTTACGACAAATACAACACGATCGGCTCCGGCTTCCTCATCCGCTCAACAGTCTCTCGCCGTCACCGTATCTCTCCTACTTACAAGCAGGACAAACACACCCCTTGATTAAACCCGCCTGGGGCCAATTATGCCTCCCCCTGGCACCGTTCCCCGAACCACTCCCTTCTCTGTCCCCTCTGCAGCTGAGCAAAACCACGCCCGCCAACACACAACTACTTAGTTGTTTTCCCTCATCAGCGCTGAATGGAGCCCCAGCAGCCAATCAGAATCTGTGTTCTTGCAGAGCACGGTAAATATAATAGTTAATACATTAATAAACATAACAATAACAATCTTTTTCCTGGGGTGACTTCTTTCAAATACATTGATATTTTGCCTTATGAATCAAAGTAGAATACAGCTTTTACAACAGTTTGATTTGTGCACCTGTAGCATTGTTATCCCATTTACTTATTAAATAATCTACTCATTTTGAATTCCCTCACGACTGACGGCACACAGCTCATGAGGTGAAGGGGTGAGGGTGAAGCCCACAACTGGAGTCAGATCCAGATCATCCTCTTTAACTCCAGGTGGAGGAGTGAAACGAAAGAGCTGGAGGAGGGAAGTGAAGAAGAGGAACAACTCCATCCTGGCCAGACTTTCTCCAGGACACGCCCTGCGTCCTGTGAGAGAACAGGCTTTAGACAATCTGAAAAGCATAAATTGGTATTGGTAAAAATCCTTAGCTGAGCTTCCTGACCTGCAGAAAAGGGCATGAAGGCGTCTCTCCTGATGAATTTACCCTCCGTATCCAAGAAGTGGGAAGGGTTAAAAGAGTTTGGGCTTTCCCATTCACTCTCATCATGATGGACAGAAGTAAGAAGAGGAAACACAGTGGTCCCCTGTGAACAGAATCAATCAGCAACATGCAACATTTGGGACCAAGTTGTGTATTCTATTTGGCAACTCACCCCTTTGATGAAGAAGCCCTGAAAGGTGACGTCTTGGCTGGTTTTGTGAGGAATGGCAAGGGGAACAACGTTTGCCAGTCTCTGTGTCTCATGGATGACAGCATCAGTGTACGGCAGGTTCCTCCTGTCCTCTACTCGGACCTGACGGCTTCCCACCACCCTGCTCAGCTCCTCCTGGACTTGGTCTGGATTTGAATCATGTTGGTTCAATACGAGTCTGCCTCAATGTACAACTTCAACTAAGCTATGAAACATGTAAGAAAAAAAACAACTTCTGAAAACTCATACTTAAACACTAAAAGTACTAAAAATCTTAAACTACTAAATCGTATGCAGAAGGTCTAAACATATCACTTACATTGAATTCGAGGATATTTGGCCATGAGCAACAGTCCCCATCTCAGCGTACTTGATGTCGTATCAGTACCACCCGAAAAGAGGTTGCCAACAGTTGACACCAGGTTCTCTATGTTGTAGTAAGAGTCTGTGATCCCTGAATCCTTATTCATGAATAGAGGGGTTTATAAAATCAGTTTTCTTTTTATAAGGAGCACCAATCATCTGTCACTTTCCAACCGTTGTCACATGAGGATGTTTTTAATGAATTCAAGAGTGATTAAAGAAACTTTAAAAAACGTTTTAATAAATTGTAAAGTTACTTATGGTTTTAATACCTCCAGTTTCTTTTTCTGTGCTAAAAACGAGTCCACAAATCCTCTGCACAACTCAACATTAAAGGTTTCTTGTAAATGTCCGATCAGTTGTTTTATACGTTTATGGTTTTCAAAAACATTCCTCTTGAGACGCATCCTGTTGCTCGCCCAATGAAATATCCCCGGGTACATGTCGAACAACTGTTGGAATTGAAAAGAGAATAACACGTTCAGTATGTTATTTGTTGTCTATATATCATGTCAGTGGGGATTCCCATGAGTCTGTAATTCATATCATAACCTACGAAAGGTACATCTCAAAGTTTATTTAATTAAAGAAAAAGTGGTACCAGTACTGAAGGAGAACCTGCAAGCTGAATGTTTTCATTTGCTCGGTCTACCATGAGTTTAAAATCTTTATCTCTGTATTCAAATCTGCTGCCATAGACAATTGAACAGATGATGTTGGAGACTGCATAGTTCATTGGCTGGCCAGTACTGAAGGGTTGACCTATAAACAAAAAATGAATGATGAAAAAACAATATGGAATCCTTTCTAAGACATAATGCAATAAAGGAGACGAGTTACCTTCATGTCTTTCAAACACTTCTATCAGATACTGAATCTCCTCAATGATTTTATCCTCTGCTGCTTTTCTTCCCATCCCAAAGTCTTTCAGGTTGCTCAGAGCAAAACGCCTCATTTCTTTCCAAGATTCCCCGTTGGCAAAAAAGATTCCTTTTCCTAAAGTAAAATCATGTAAACATTTCTTGTGAAATATCATTTGAATATTTTAAATTGTGTTAAAATATCATCCAAAAAATGGCCGCACGTTGAATGAATTATTTCTTTTAGTGATCTTTACTTTGCACAAAGAGCACAAAAGAAAAATGCAGCTATTCAGATCACGGGAATAAAGTTTTTTTTCTACCGTGGAACAAAGCATGTGTTCATCTTTCCTCCTGGGCCTCCTGCACCTGTGTCAAAAAGCCTGTTTACGTCTCTCAATCCATCGTCAGCCTGAATGACTCGAGGCTCCTAAAGGGGGCTGCTTCGTTATTCTTGCCACTAAAAGAGTGCCTAATATCCCCCCAGCAAGTTCTTTACACACACACACACACACACACACACACACACACACACACACAAACCTCCAAGGCCAATCACACCCTGCAACAGTATCAACTCATTTTAAACTACATAACATTTGCATTACAGCGCATTTGAAACACCCCCAACCGTAATAAAATCAACTATTATGTCTATAGATTATATCATTAAATGAAATGCACTGTATGTATCATCTGGATAAACCTATTCTGTGAGTGGTTTTGACTCAACTATGCAATATACTTACTATATGAATCGCTTAACATCAAGTCATTGCCAAATTGAGGGATTCGTCTCTCTCCAAACTCCACAGCATGGTTGACCAGTGCCTGCTTCACGGTCTTGTATCCAGCCAGAACCACCACTTTCTGGGGTCCAAGATGCACTGTGAACACGGATCCATATTTCTTGGAAAGCTATGACACACAAGAAGCAGTAATCATTACAGCTTTGAAAAAGGATAGCGTATTTAAATCACAGAACATTTCTCAAAATTCCAATCCTGGACAAAGAAGACAGAAACACCTCATAGGATCAGTTCCAAGAGCACTTATTTCAATTCTGCTTTTTAAATTTCATACACTAATATCTTGTGTTAAAGCAATAACATGTATTATAAATTGCAAAGAAGCATACAAATATCATTTGATTGAAACACACGTGTTCCACCTGTCATTCAAATCTCCTATCATCTTGCTCACAAACACATTCCTCACATCAACAAGAGAGCGGTCCAGTCTCTTGAGATCCATCTGAAGCAAGTTACCAAGCAGGGGAAGAGGTTGAGGTCCAGGAGGCTCCCTCCTCTTGTCTTTGGAGCGGAAAAACAAGGACACAAGAATGCACATGAGGACCAGCATCAGAGCTACTGTAACGTAGGACAGGAAAAGATCTTCCAACATCAACATATTGTAACTTTTGGAACGCAGTCCTCCCAAGAAACCTTTCAGCTGAACAGCTTTGTGAAAAGTACGCTAGCAGGATGAATATCTAATAGTTGCAGGCAGATCTTTCTCAATATGCGTTCTTGTGTGGACTTTTGTTCTCGTGGGCTTGTGAAACGTTATCAGCCGCAGTCAGAGTACTGTTCCAATTCTAAAGTCCGCATCTGTCCTAAAACGGTCATAAGATCCGGATGTGACTCAACAACAACAGAGGAAAATAAACACAACTGTAAGTCAAAGTTCATAAAGTTTACAAATATATAATTTTTAAGTAACGGAATGTAATGTTAGGACTTTTTCAGATGAGAAGTTATTTAAGCAACATTTTTGCAGTCTGTTTGTCAACATTCAGCCTTGGTAACAATCTGCTCCGTGGATGTTGATGTGACGTGTAGTTAACAGTCATCTCAGCCCGCAGAGGGGAGCCTGTTTTCGGCAAGTCTTTTGTGAAATGCTCCGCTGGTCTCCGTACCGGTTATACATAATATATGACTATACTACAACTAGGCTGTGTGTTTATAACCTTTAATATGTTGTCAGAGACTGATGTTTGCTCACCGGTGACGTTACGTGTGTTTGAGGGCAGAGTTTGTTATTGTCTGTTACGTTGCCTCTTGGGGGAGGAAACGCAACGACCCGCCGCTCATGACCTCTATGCAGCATGGAGGAAAAAGGTGCGGTGTGTGTGGACGCACTGACGACCAAAACACATATAACCCGTAAAAAGAAATGTTTATATATATATATATATATATATATATATATATATATATATATATATATATATATATATATACACACACACACATACATACACATGTTGCTTGGGAAAAGCGGCTGGACGGAATCAAAACAAAGAAAAAAACAAAACAGTCCCTTTTGCCTACTTGACCAGAAACACCCCCCCCCACCCACTAACCTAGCACTTTGAGCACTAGCAAGGCTCACTAACCAAAATACAGAGGGGTGGTCCGCCCAGGTCTTGCCTAGTGTTTCTAGACAGGAGGCTAACTACGGGTGGTGGCACATGGGAACCTTGCACATTCCCACTTCCCCTTTTCCCTGGGAACAAAAAAAAGATGGGTAAACATAAAACTGAAAATACACTTCTCACAGCAACACAGAACAAAAATCACAGCATCACCTCTGGTTGTGTCCACACAGGACACCAGAGAGAGTGAACCACAACAAATGTAATCCTTATATATCCTTCCTAGGGTGAGTGGGTGAGACACAGAAACTGGGGAACGTAACATTGTCTATCATTGTGCATTCAAACTAACAGTGTTTTAATTAGAGGACATGGGTAGACCGTCATAGAGGCTCTAAACCGGCAGCAGGACATCAAGTTCAAAGAAACTCTGAAGCTCTGAATTATAATAATAATAGTAATAATGAATATTGTTATTATTTGATAATAAATATATTCCACATACAAAGTATATTTCTATGTAAGTTATGGTCGTTGCTTGCATATGCTTGAAAATGTGTAAATCTAACTGTAGCATCATTGCTCCCTGCATCATAGATAATAAATACTATGACGTTAATCACTAATGATCATGTCATCTATCTCACGGTGTGTAGCCTCATTGATCACTATATTGTATACATATAATACTATGAGGTTAATCACCATTAATCTAGAAACACAGAAAAGATTCAAGTACATCACCAATTTAATTAATAGTGATGTTTGTGCAGTTAACTGTACGAGGACCACGACACTGATTATCAGCCCCTTGATGTTTGAGTAACAAGAAGGCAAACGGTGTGTGTGTGTGTGTGTGTGTGTGAAATGTAGCTGTAACGCATCACAGGAGACAGGAGTAGACCCAAGCGCAGAGTGCAGTTTTAATGAACAATAGTTACACAGGGAGTAGGCTTAGTGGTATCCAGTAGACAGGAGGTCAAAATCCAGGAGCAAGGAGATAGGCGAAGGTACAGACCGGGATCAGGCAGGAGGCAACGAGGTCTGGAACAAACAAGGAGTCTTCATCGGGAGTACAAAACAGGAGATCCAAATAACGCTCCGAACGGGATGGTAACTACACAAGACTTCGCAAGGTACACAGAGTGATAAGGGGTATATATACACAGACCAGCTAGAGAGGAAACCAGACACAAGTGTGAGTGGGCGTGCACAACAGGCAGACGCACGATTGAACAAACCAACACAAAACGGGACAGACCAACGAGACAGTGAACAGGAGGGAGTTTTGGGACCAGATTTGAAGGCCTCAGTACTCCGGGGAAGGGGAGCGATGGATCGTGACAGTAGCCCTGTCCAGTAAAATATTAAGTGTTTAATTGTTGTTGTCTTGTTGTATTCCTGCCAGCAATGTCCAGTACTGTGTAAAGTATTTTACATAACAAACAAACTTCTGTGATGTAAAATCTTTTAGTGTAAAGTGAAAGTGAAGAGAGCCCCGTGCCGGCCCTGAAAGAGGTCACACCTTAATGTAGTAAACCACTTTTTGCTCTGTAAAACTGACCTGTATTAAGCCTAAATCCACCACTACAGACTTGACCGTCTGAACTGACGACAAATACATATTTACTCTACTGAAAACAAAGCCGAGGTCACCTTTGAGTCTTGAGAACTTGTGAAACTGGTGAAATTTCTATCACCAACAAAGTAGTACATACATACACGTGCAGCGTTAGAGGACGTAACTTTGCTGCTAGCTTCATACTATCCATCTCACACTCCCTCCCACCTGGGGAATTATACCCCATGAAATATGAACTTAAGAAGCTTTACATGTTGTTCTGAAAATGATAATGCAGGCAGAGTCTTTTGGCAATTTACAATGTTGTTCTTTTCAGTTATAGTACCTCTTAAATATGTAATGTTTGCAAACAGGAGAGATAGTTGACACACACACACACACACACACACACACACAGGAGTCATGCGCTAAGGCTACTCAAAGGTTTTCCTTTCCAGCAACAACATACATTTGATAAACAGAGAGGTTCTGCGCACGCACAATGATCTCATTTTACCGTTGTGTCCTTTATCTTCTTGGGACACATCATGAGACACCGAGTGTCCTTCTGGACACCGGACATACACGTCACACAAATTTTTTGTCCTGAGTGGTCATCTTTGATAGCAGTAATCACTTGGTAAGTGAGTTTGATAGCAAGCAAAAGCAGTAGAACAACAGAAAGTCGAACAAAAGCAAACACAAACTGAGGTAAAAACTGATAGAACAGTCAAATGAATAAAACAAGAACAATCAATAAATATAAAATAATACTAAGGAAATTTTGATCAACTTTTTAAAGCTGAAAATTATAATCATTATCATTGATGTGTGACTTTCTTTATACTTTTGCCTACAGGGGACCACTGTGATTATTCTTACTTCTGTCCTTCATGGTGAGAGTGAATGGGAGACTCCACATTCTTTTAACCCTTCCCACTTCCTGGATAAGGATAGTAAATCTTTCCAGAGGGACATTTTCTTTTAAACCTGCAGTAGAACTCGTTCCACTGTAAACCAGGGCTTGTCTTTGTTAAAACTCCCCCTGGTGCATGATGGTACACTGCTGTCCTCACAGAAGTCAATGTAAGAAGTCACATTCTCTGTGAACTCATCTAGACTGTTAGTAGCAGTCCTGAAAACATCCCAATCTGTGCAGATCTGAAGATCTTCTAGTGCCTCACCGGTCCACTTACATATGCAATTTACAATTCAAGTTATATGAATGCATTTACTGTCTGAGTGGAAGAAAAAAACACTACTGTAATCCACTTTATTTACAGCTTTGTATGATTCACACTGCTTCTGTAAAGAAAAAGTAGAGACCGACATTCCAGGGAGTTATAGATATGTGGCTTATAAGTATTTATAGGATTCAAACTTTTGTTACCCTTGCTCATTTATTTACACTTGTTTTACTCATTACATGTGTGAATTAAATAAATTGCAGTATTAATTACGTAGAAATGGAAACATTTGCTCTGCTGTTATCAAAAGGATTAAGTTCTGTTGAAATCTGATTCATCGTATATAAAAAATGGAAATTACATCCTTGTGTTCTGTATATGTACCATAAAAATGAACAACTGTATATGTGCGGCTATTATTTTTTAGTTAAATAATGCTCTATGCAAATTGTAGCAAAAACCAGTGCCTGGTCTAAGTTATTTGAGAAGTGACACTTGTTGAATCTATTCAAATGACTTGATACCACAAGAGGTACGTGGCAAAACCTAAAAACCTTTCTCCCATCATGGTCTTCAAGAGGCCACCTTCATTGAGAAGAAATATAAGTACTGCAATATGTTTATGGAACAAATCTCTTATCTTGAAAGTGGATGGTTATACGTATACTGCGTGTGCACTTCACCCCCTTTGCTGCAGTGTAAACATCCCTGCTTTGATACTCATAAAAAGGAACATCTAATCTTGCATTGACCCAAGGTTTATTTGATCGGGAAGCACTAGCTGTGAGAACAGTCAAACCTTGTCCTCACGCGATCAAATGTAATCTATTGGGCAGTGAGAGAAATCCCGAACATCGACAGTTTTAAATGTAAACAAAAGGTATAATTCACGTCCTTCGGATTAAACAGAAAACAGTAGTCAAAACGGGTAACTCAGGCTTCGGTCGATCTTCGCCAGTAAAACTTGAATAATGCCTCGTCTTCAGAGGGGAATCGGAACTCCACCTCCCTCAAGAGAATATACCGTCTTCTCAGTCTCAGGAATCCTCCTGCATTGGTCTGGTCTTCTGCAGCTCGTCTCTCTCTTCTTCCTCAATGGTGTGTCCCCCGCCCCTATGAAGGCCTTCAGGTCGTCACACCCTGATGAGTTTCAGGTGTGAGGGGGATTCTCTGAGTTACCGGGTGGGGTTCCTAACTCCACCGGCAGATGGAGCCATAGCACTTACAGCCATCTCCGGTGAGCGTATCTCCCTTCCAAGACCCAGCCTCTTGTGACATCACAGTACTTACATTCAACATTTATGTTATGTATCTTTGTGTTATTGCCAAACATTATCCATGGAAAAGCTATTGCATGAATGTACTTGAATTTCTCTCTAAATGTTAGAAAAAGTGACATATGAATATTGTTGTGCTTTTTTTTCATATGATGATGTTGACGCCCCATAATTTCCCACACAAGTTCAACACGAGGGACGAATGAATACTATGTTGGCAAATACGCTGACGTCTTACTATGGGTACGCCGAGATGTGTGACACTGAAAAAAATTCATTCATGAGGTGGTACAGCACAGTTTGCAGAGAAAAATTTGATTTCCAGGCAGAGCTGGAGCCGCTACTGTGTCAATGGTGTAGAGGTGTTGCGGCGAGCATGCTCCATTCATCACGTATAACATTCCTAGAATGCACGCAGCTTGACCCTTTTTCTTTCACCACTTTGGCATCGAGCTGTATCGGTGTGTTCAAAACATTGTTTCTCCCCCGGTACACGGTGGCTTTGACACATGAGGGGGCCTACACAAGACAGAATAAAACATATTCTGATGTTCCCATGCAATGGCTTGAATACGTGTCCCACACAGAGAATATTGAGATCAGACATGCACTCAACCACGGGGAGCAGAAGTTTGCTCCGTTCTATGTGGACGGTTATAATTCGGTAACACTTGTTATAAATTTGCCCGTTGTTTGTTGTGTCAAATGTCACGTACAGAGCAACATGAACCTCGTCACCAAAGTCCCGTATGGTAGACAATACAAGGCATTCATGGATAAAATAGATGCCCTGCAAAAACAACACGGTTTGATCGTTGTTGTGATGTGGGAGTGTGAGTGGGCCTCATTAAAACTATCCAGCGCTTCTGTACAGGCCTAAAAAGCGTGAACGTCTGGATCCTATAAAGGCTCTCTCGGGCGGGCATACAAATGCTATGACGATGTACCACAAGGTCTAGTAATAGTGGTCATTCTGTGGATATAGTCAAACTGTCTGTGGGTTCGGTGTGTTGTGTGTTTTTAAGCACTGCAGGCTTTTACGACCTGTCACATGGTAGAAGATTATGATTTTAAGCCCCAGATACCTTTCAAAAGCAGCTACATCGGAGAATGAGACTTTGTGGTTGAGATGGTTATACGTGGACTATCGTAGAGTGAATGATGTGTCACGTTTTGATGCCTACCCAATGCCGAATGGACGGACTGGGCACTGCATCTTTCTTTACGACCCTGGATTTAACCAAGGGCTACTGGCAGATTCCTCTGTCGCTAGAGTCCAAGGAAAAAAAACGCTTTCTCCACTCTGTTTGGTTTATACCAATTCACCACGCTTCTGTCACGGTGTGGTTCACGTCCTGCCTTATTTTGTAGTTTTCTGCCACTCGTGTTCCCGGGTAACTTCACTTCCTGCCTGGTCCTGTCATCCCCTGTGATTGTCGGATTGTTTCCACCTGTGTCCAATCACCTGCACCTCCCTAGTGTATTTAAGCAGTGTGTGTCTCTTGTCACTTGTGGGTCATTGTCCCGGGTGTTTGACTTGTTTTATTTGAAGGTTTCGTAGCTCGGTCTGCAGGTCTGTTTCCACACTTTTTGTAGTTAGCCTTCCACAATCTTTAGGATTGTGGCTGCAGTTGCTTTCTAAAAGATATATTCATGCATGTAAATACAATTTATATACGTTAAGATGGAGAAAATGAAACAATTAGGAATCACTAGACCTCATCGGTGCTTTGGGTGGTTAATCCCCCTCTGGGCTGTCATATCGTTGAGAAACCTTTAATGAATATATACTTTTAAGTATAATGTTTGTTTTACTAAAACATGTAATCAACAATAAAACACATTACCCACCACCAAAGTGTTCCATCGTCGCTGAGGGTGGAAAAATAGGATCGTGGTAGACAAGAGTGTCTTAAACTATCTGTAGGCACGTACTGCAACAAAGTTGCTTGAAAATACTTCCCAAATACTTAAATACATGCTTTTGTGTGGGAGTGGTTACATACACTTTTTGCATAAAGTGAACTATAAACCTATTGGGCCCTGGGTATTTTCCAGTCAAAATGTGTCTGCTCTGTAGCAGGGGGGTGCTCTGCCACACTCTCACACCCCCATCGTAAAACACTTTCTGATAACAGTTAAATGAAACGGCATCCTTCCTACAATGGTTTTGACCCTTTGCATTAAAGGGTCACAGACAATTGTTTGTTTCTGATAACACGTATGTGCCTGGTCATCTTGTCTCTAACCATTTTATTGTTTTATTACTACTCACACAAACCCCTTAACATATTGCAAGGTTGTGCCCCCCTCACACGCACACACACACACGCGCAGCCATAAAAAGTGCTGACACATGTAACCCCATACATGCACACGCATTCTAGTGCACGCGCATAAACTCCTGTTCCACACTCCAGTCCAGATGGTGGTGGTAATTCAAGTTGCTTTGCCAACTGCCAATGAACACAAGAAGAAAGAAGAAGAAGACAAAAAACTGATTGCTGTGATTGGCTGACCTGCTCATTCACAGTTAATGACGAGCTCCACACAGCTGTTGTTAATGGGGTGGGGCTTCTCTGCAGAAACCTGAGTTCATAAGACTAGAAGATCTGTCAGCAACTATTAGATATTCATCCTGCCAGCGTACTTTTCACAAAGCTGTTCAGCTGAAAAGTTTCTTGGGAGGGCTGCGTTCCAAAAGTTACGATATCATGATGTTGAAAGATCTTTTCCAGTCCTACGTTACAGTAGCTCTGATGCTGGTCCCCATGTGCATTCTTGTGTCCTTGTTTTTCCGCTCCAGAGACAAGAGGAGGGAGCCTCCTGGACCTCAACCTCTTCCCCTGCTTGGTAACTTGCTTCAGATGGATCTCAAGAGACTGGACCGCTCTCTTGTTGATGTGAGGAATGTGTTTGTGAGCGAGATGATACGAGATTTGAATGACAGGCTGCACACGTGTATTTCAATCAATTGGTATTTGTAATTTTTGACTGTTTGCAATTTGTAATACATGTTATAGCTTTAACACAATATATTAGTGTATGACACTTAATATCTTCTCAACAGTCATTTTAAATGCAGAATTGGAATAAGTGTTCATGAAACTGATCTTATGAGGTGTTTCTATCTTCTTTGTCCATGTTTCGAATTCCCGAGTGATGTTCTTGGATTTAAATACTAACTTTATTCAAAGTTGTAATGATTACTGCTTTTTGTGTGTCATAGCTTTCCAAGAAATATGGATCAGTGTTCACAGTGTATCTTGGACCCCAGAAAGTGGTGGTTCTGGCTGGATACAAGACCGTGAAGCAGGCACTGGTCAACTATGCTGTGGAGTTTGGAGAGAGATATGTCAGTCCAACTGGCCATGACTTAAGTGGTTCGCTAAGTAAGTATAACGCAGCTGATTTGAGTAATTCTCACTCATGCTATAAAATAATTTAGGTGGCACCCACATTTGATTGAATCAGAATGTTAACATCACACATCTCAAAGTATACAGCTGCATTATAATAGAATTTCATTTTATTTTTTTCCATAAGTTGCAGGGACATCGTTGTTCAGACAAAAGCAATAGCAACAACAGAGCGGAAGAAAGGTTGTGGAACAGAGTGGCAAATCAACAGGGGAACCAATGTGCACGATAGCAGATAGTAGATCAACCAAGATCTTTGCTCACAGAATTGCAACAGACCGTCTGTACGCTCTGAGACCTGAATGTGCACTTTGATCTTTAGGGTGCAGGTACATGAGGTCCAGGATGAAAGCGACATCACTTGGTCCCACACAGCATTCAAATGCTTCACAGGCTTTGATAATATAGTGTAAATTTGTCTTTAACTGCATCTGAAGTAATTTATTGATTTACAAAACAAAGTTTTGTGTTTTTATTTTATTTTTTACGATTCATTTACTTCATTATATGCTGTCATGAACGATTGTTGACATTCATTTCATATTTGTGTGCAAAGTGAATCCCCCTGAAGAAAAATAAAAGTTCATCATTCAACCTCTTATTATCCTGAAAATATCAAACAAAATGTTTTGTTTTTGTCTAAATAACATTTGACAAACACGTGTACTTGCTTTCACTTCAGGGAACGGAGTCACATTTGCCAACGGGGAATCGTGGAAAGAAATGAGGCGTTTTGCTCTGACCAACCTGAGAGACTTTGGGATGGGCAAAAAAGCAGCAGAGGATAAAATCATTGAGGAGATTCCGTATCTGATAGAAGTGTTTCAAAGACATGAAGGTAACTCGTCTTCTTTATTGCATTATGTCTTCGAAAGGATTCCATATTGTTTTTTCATCATTCATTTTTTGTTTATAGGTCAACCCTTCAGTTCTGCCCAGTCAATGAACTATGCAGTCTCCAACGTCATCTGTTCAATTGTCTATGGCAGCAGATTTGAATACAGTGATGAAGAGTTTAGACTCATGGTAGACCGAGCAAATGAAAACTTCAGACTTGCAGGTTCTCCTTCAGTACAGGTAACACTTTGTCTTTTATCAACTAAACTAAGATGTACCTTTTTTGGGTTATAATGAGAATTAGACTCCTGAGGTAATAGGCATATGACCTTTTTTTTGCTGTGCATTCATGACCTATAGACAACAAATATCATGCTGAACGTGTTTAATCCCTGTAAAATTCCAACAGTTGTTCAAAATGTACCCACTGATATTTCAATGGGTGAGCAACAGGATGCGTCTCAAGAGGAATGTTGCTGAGAACCGAAAACAAATAAAAAAGCTGATCGGAATTTTACAAGAAACTTTGAATGTTCACATGTGCAGAGGATTTGTGGACTCGTTTCTAGCACACAAACAGAAGCTGGAGGTAATACAAACAAGGGTGCTATTTTGATATATGGTTCATATCTTGAAAAAACATTTTACTCTTGACAAATGTACCACATACCCCCATTTTGAGTTTAAATCTCTTCTCTATTAATAAGGATTTAAAAATTCCGGATTCAAACTACAACATTGAGAACCTGGTGACAACTGCTAGCAACCTCTTTGTTGCTGGTTCTGATACGACAGGAGCTACACTGAGATGGGCTCTGTTGCTCATGGCCAAATATCCCCAAATTCAAGGTAGGTGACATGTTTAGACCTGCTGCATGCCAATACGATTTTTAGTACTACTAGTAGATAAGGATGAATTTTTTAAAAGTTTTTTTTTTTTTCTTACACGTTCCAATGTTTAGTTGAAGTTGTACCTTAAGGCAAACTTGAACATGAATCTTATTTAAATCCAGACCAGGTCCAGGAGGAGCTGAGCAGGGTGGTGGGAAGCCGTCAGGTCCGAGTAGAGGACAGGAGGAACCTGCCGTACACTGATGCTGTCATCCATGAGACACAGAGACTGGCCAATGTTGTCCCCCTTGCCATTCCTCACAAAACCAGCCAAGACGTCACCTTCCAGGGCTTCTTCATCAAAGAGGTGAGTCGCCAAATAAAATCCACACCCAGATGCAAATGATGCATGTTGCTGATTGATTCTGTTTACAGGGGACAACTGTGTTTCCTCTTCTTACTTCTGTTCATCATGATGAGAGTGAATGGGAGAGCCCAAACTCTTTTAACCCTTGCCACTTCCTGGATACGGAGGGTAAATTCATCAGGAGAGACTCCTTCATGCCCTTTTCTGCAGGTCAGCAAGCTCAGCTAAGGATTTTTACCAATACCAATTCACGCTTTTTAGATTGTCTAAAGCCTGTTCCCTCACAGGACGCAGGGCGTGTCCTGGAGAAAGTCTGGCCAGGATGGAGCTCTTCCTCTTCTTCACTTCCCTCCTCCAGCGCTTCCGTTTCACTCCTCCACCTGGAGTTAAAGAGGATGATCTAGATCTGAATCCAGCTGTGGGCGTCACCCGCACCCCTTCTCCTCATGAGCTGTGTGCCGTCAGTCGTGAGGGAATTCAAAATGAGTAGATTATTTATAGATTATTTATTTATTAGATAAGTGAATGGGATAACTATTCTTTATACAGCTGCACAAATCAAGCTGTTAGAAAACCTGTATTCTACTTTGGCAAAACATCAATGTGTTTAAAACAAGTCACCACAGGGTAGAGATTTTTGATTCATTGTATATGTGTGTGTATGTACTGACTACTATATTTCCATGCTCTGCAAGAACACTGATTCTGATTGGCTGCTGGGGCTCCATTCAGTCCTGATAATGGAAAACAACTAACAACTGTCTCCAATTCTAGTGTGAGCGATATTCGCTATTCAGATAACTATCCCGAAGCAGTACACAAAGTGACCAAAAAACAAGCAATTTTCACCTTTGCACTTGACATGTAACCATCTGTAATCACTTGATATTGTTTTGGAGCAATTCTGTTTTGTTTTCTAGTCTTGTTATATGTGTATTGTTTTTGTAATTAATTCACTTTGCTGTCAACTGTATTGAGTGTTATTGACTATTATTAATAAAATTCAACACCCCCTTCTGTGAAACTTGTTTCTGGTTCATTATTAATCAGGAAACATTTATTGCCAAAATATGTCAGACATGCAAGGAATTTGACTTGGTGGTTGGTGCGTGACAGTAGACAGTATGACAATAGACGGCAAGACAGCAGTGTACGAGTAATAAAATGCTAATGCTATGGGTTAGTAGAATAAGGCTATGGGTTAGTTAAAAATAAAATAAAGTTAAAAATATTTTAAAATTAAATAAAGTGCACTAGCGAACAGGAAGTGACAAATGTGCAGAGTGACAAGTGAAAGTGACGTGTGCAGAATGAAAGAAAGTGACCGGTGGAATGTTATAGTCAGTCAGTGGCTCTGTTGATGAGCCTGACTGGCGACGGGAAGAAACTGTTTGTGTGGCGGGAGGTCTTAGTCCTAATGCACCTCAGCCTCCTGCCAGATGGGAGGGGCACAAACAGGTTTTGTCCGGGGTGAGAGGGGTCGGCTACAATCTTTTTGGCTCGCTTCAGGGTCCTAGAAGCGAACAAGTCCTGCAGGGACGGCAGATTGCAGCCAATCACCCTCTCTGCAGAGTGGATGACACGCTGCAGCCTGCCCTTGTCCTTGGCTGTGGCTGCAGCTTACCAGACGGTGATGGAGGATCAGAGGACTCGATGATGGCCGTGTAGAAGTGCACCATCATCGTCTTTGGCAGGATGAATTTCTTCAGCTGCTTCAGGAAGAACAACCTCTGCTGAGCCTTCTTGGTGATTGAGCCGATGTTCAGCTCCCACTTGAGGTCCTGGGTGATGATGGATTGTATCAATAATCCTTTTACTTTAAGATAATAATAACTGAATCAGCTAAATACAATCACATCGTAGCGTTTCAAAGTTGCACTTTTGTGGTCGATCCTTTCCAAACATTTTCCATGAATATTGTATCAGTCTTCAAGATCCTTTGGTCAAAGTTGCACCTTTTCTTTTATCTTTGAAAATGCCTATGCCGCAACCCGTGAGGGTCAACCAAAAATGTTAGAATTGGAGCAAATACATTTATTTCCAATACATTCACAATACATTTGCACAAAGTAAATAAAGAATGCTTTAAAGTGTAATGTTTTTGGGTGTGTTTGTGTTTGTGAACTTGTCAGGCCGACGCTACAAGTCAAACGTTTATCTCTCACCACACGCTGTTCACTCTATTAAAGCCTTAATTGTTTGCCTCAGTACTCTATGAAACACATATAGAGCCTCGCTGCCAGTTTTCTATATCGTAATCATATACACTATCACAGACGTAATTTTCATTTTAATCTGGATCCTCCCGCTAATCCTAAATTGACAAACACAGACACACACCCAACAACATTTTAAAGCTTTCTTTATTTATTGTGCAAATGTATTGTGCTCCAATTCTAACAATTTAACTGTTGATGTGGAATAGGACTTTGAATGTTGAGGTTTAATTCACAGTTTGGTCATTGTTCACTGATCTCAGGGCGGTAAGAAGCTGATGACCCGGCGGCCCCGAGCACGGCTCCCCGTGACCCATCGCCGGCACTCTCAAGCCCGGCTCATGTCCCCCCGCCAGGCCGACCCCCGGAGGTTCCCCGGCCGCCCACCCGTCGTTCCATCCGACCCCCTGAAGTTCTCAGGCCGCCCGTCCGCCCTCCGTCCGCCGGAGTCCCCCTGGCTGCCCGACCCTCGTCCCCTTGTCTCTACCTCCCACCCTGTTACCTGTTTTCTGCCCGTCCCGCCCTCCGTCTTTTGTCCTTTGCCGCGTCATTGAATGTTCTACCCTGAATATTGTCACCCTGTGAGATCCTGGTCTGTGTCTGCGTTTTTCCCCCCCTGGTGTTTTGGATTTGGTAATTTATTAAAGGTACCTTTTATTGTCAAACTCTGCGTTTGAGTCCTACCTTGTCCGTGACAGATGCAGGGATCAATGGTGCTACAGTTGGACTTAGATTTAAAAAAAATGAAATAAACCAATTCAAAGCAGGAAATAAACCCAAATCGGGACAGTTATCTTTGAACATGCCTATCCCGCACCCGTGCTGCCCGGATTCCTTTCAGTGGCATGTGAAGATAAGAGCTTGTTATCGCTGTAGGGAGGAAACATTTTAACAACAAATGGCACAATGAAGAAACATTTTAATAATTTATCTAAATCCTTGATATTCTTTTTTTTGTATTAATGGAATGAAGGTGGAGGCAATGTCATTTCAGAATATTAACAACTATGGTGTGGTTTTACAGACTTTACTAAGGCCTTTTCAGTTTAACATGTATCAACGAATTACTTTCTAATCCCTTATTGGTTTCCCTAATTTTTATTTGTCCATTGATTTTTTTTCCTCTCCATCAGCTTCTTACGCACAATGATGAACGGACAATGATCAAATTATGAATTATGTCTGAAAATTGGTCTTACCTCAAAGTGTCAAAGTACTCTTCCACGTTAAGCGTGAACAGTAAGAGTAAGAAGTCAAGCAGAGACTAATACATTGAGCAGATCACTCTGTCTGGCCTCAATGATGACCGACCAGTTGCTCTCAACACTCATGTGATAAAAGTACCGGACTTGGCCCACCTTCGACCGCAGGTGAAAGTATCCCTGGAGCCTTTGCCATTTGCTTACCACCCTTATGTGGCAGCTGACGGCGCCATCACTTACCTGCCGGAGGATGAACACAAGTGTAACCGCATGTACTCAAGTAACAGTAAAACAGACTATCGAAATATGGACCATGACCAATGTGCGAAATCAGTTTTTTAGTATAATATTTTATAGTGTTCTTCTTTCCTGTATTTGTTTTTCATTATTGAAGATTGCTCATGACTAACCGTTATATCATAAATGTGATTGGCTGACCTGCTCATTCACAGTTAATGAAGAGCTCCACACAGCTGTTGTTAAAGGGGCGGGACTTCCCTGCAGAAACCAGAGTTCATAAGAGTAGAAGATCTGCCTGCGACTAATAGATATTTATCCTGTCTGCTTACTTTTCACAAAGCTGTTCAGCTGAAAAGTTTCTTGGGAGGACTGCGTTCCAAAAGTTACGATATGATGATGTTAGAAGATCTTTTCCAGTCCTACGTTACAGTAGCACTGATGGTGGTCCTCATGTGCATTCTCGTGTCCTTTTTTCTCCGCTCCAAAGACCAGAGGAGGGAGCCTCCTGGACCTCAACCTCTTCCCCTGCTTGGTAACTTGCTTCAGGTGGATCTCAAGAGACTGGACCGCTCTCTTATTGATGTGAGCAATGTGTTTGTGAGCGAGATGATACGAGATTTAAATGACAGGTGGCACACGTGTGTTTCAATCAAATGAGATTTGTATCCCTGTTTGCAATTAATATTCTTCTTTATTCTTTGTCCATGTTTAGCATTCAGTGTGATATTCTGTTATTTAACTACTATCTTTTTTCAAAGCTGTAATGATTACTGCTTTTTGTGTTTCATAGCTTTCCAAGAAATATGGATCGGTGTTCTCAGTGTATCTTGGACCCCAGAAAGTGGTGATTCTGGCTGGATACAAGACCGTGAAGCAGGCACTGGTCAACCATGCTATGGAGTTTGGAGAGAGACAAATCCCTCAATTCGGCAATGACACAAGTAATTCTCTGAGTAAGTATAGGTATATGTGACCCAGGTGGAAAGACAACGCATGCTTTGTTCCTCACAGAATTCAACTACTGAAGAAAGTGTAGTCACGTTATCTGAATACGTTCTTTTCCTTCTGCTCTTTGTGCAAAGATCACTGAAAGAGAAAATGGTTTCATGCAGTCATCATTCTATGTGCTGCCATTTTTCTGACGATGTTGTAACCTGATTTGAATATAGTTTAAATAGTACATCTTACAGGGCAGCACGGTGGTGTGGTGGTTGGCACTGTTGCCTCACAGCAAGTTCCTGGGTTTGACTCTGCTCCGTGCCCTTTCTGTGTGGAGTCTTCATGTTCTCCCCGTGTCTGCGATTTCCTCCCACAGTCCAAAGACATCCACTGGGGATTAGGTTAGGAAATGTTGTATGTCTCCGTGTTAGCCCTGCCATTGACTGAGGACCAATCCAGGGGGTATCCCGTCTATTGCCTGACGTTTGCTGGGATAGACTCCAGTGACCGTGTGAGCAGGATAAGTGGTTTGCAGATGGATGGAATATATCTTACAAAAATGATTGTTACCTATTTTTTTGTAGGAAATGGAATCATTTTTGCCAATGGGGAATCGTGGAAAGAAATGAGGCGTTTTGCTCTGAGCAACCTGAGAGACTTTGGGATGGGCAGAAAAGCAGCAGAGGATAAAATCATTGAGGAGATTCAGTATCTGATAGAAGTGTTTGAAAGACATGAAGGTAACTAGTCTCCTTTATTGCATATTGCATTATTAAGTAATTCCTATTGGTGTTTTTTTTTTTCATCATTCATTTTTGTTTGTAGGTCAACCCTTCAATACTGGCCAGTCAATAAACCCTGCAGTCTCCAACATCATCTGTTCAATTGTCTATGGCAGCAGATTTGAATACAGTGATGAAGAGTTTAAACTCATGGTAGACCGAGCAAATGACAACTTCAGACTTGCAGGTTCTCCTTCAGTACAGGTAAAATTTTGTCTGTCTTTTAATAGATAAACTCTTAGATGTTGTTGATTGTTGTTGTTCTGGGTCTGTACACTCTTGGTTGAATGCACTTCTTGTAAGTTTCTTTGGACAAATGCCTCAGATAAATGAAAAATGTAAATAATCATTATATTCATGGCTAACAAATAACATGCTGAACCTGTTTATTCTATTTTCAATTCCAACAGTTGGTTGACATGTACCCGTGGATATTTCAATGGGCGAGCGACCGTATGCGTTTTAAGAGGAATGTTGCTGAAAACCGAAGACATATAAAGCAGCTGATTGGACGTTTACAAGAAACTTTGAACGTTCAGATGTGCAGAGGATTTGTGGACTCGTTTCTAGCACACAAACAGAAGCTAGAGGTATTAAAATCATAAGTAAAATCACAATTTCTTAAAAAAAAATTCAAAAGTTCTTTAATCACTCATGAATTCATTAAAAACATGCTCATGTAACAGCGGTCGATAGCTGGAAGGTGACAAATGGTTGGGGCAATATACAATTTCTTTTTCAAGGTTTCTTCAATTACTCATGAATTCATAAAACGTCCTCTTATGACAATGGTCAATAGCTGAAAGATGACAAGTGGTTTGAAAAACTTCAAACTAATTTTATATTCTCCTTTTATAATAAGGATTCAGGGATTACAGACTCTTACTACCACATAGACAACCTGGTCACAACTGCTAGCAACCTCTTTGCGGGTGGTTCTGATACAACATCGAGTACGCTGAGCTGGGGACTGTTGCTCATGGCCAAATATCCTCAAATTCAAGGTAAGTTAAATTTAAGATAGTAGTTGAAGTTCTGATCTGACTTCTTCATAGCTTAGTTGAAGTTGTACTTTGAGGCAGACTCATATTGAACCAACATGATTTAAATCCAGATCAGGTCCAGGAGGAGCTGAGCAGGGTGGTGGGAAGCCGTCAGGTCCGAGTAGAGGACAGGAGGAACCTGCCCTACACTGATGCTGTCATCCATGAGACACAGAGAGTGGGCAACATCTTCCCCCTCTCCCTGCCTCGCAAAACCAGCCAAGACGTCACCTTCCAGGGCTTCTTCATCAGAGCGGTGAGTCGCCAAATAAAATCCACACCCAGATGCAAATGATGCATGCTGCTGATTGATTCTGTTTACAGGGGACCACTGTGTTTCCTCTTCTTACTTCTGTCCATCATGATGAGAGTGAATGGGAGAGCCCAAACTCTTTTAACCCTTCCCACTTCTTGGATACGGAGGGTAAATTCATCAGGAGAGACGCCTTCATGCCCTTTTCTGCAGGTCAGCAAGCTCGGCTAAGGATTTTTACCATTACCAATTCACGCTTTTCAGATTGTCTAAAGCCTGTTCCCTCACAGGACGCAGGGCGTGTCCTGGAGAAAGTCTGGCCAGGATGGAGCTCTTCCTCTTCTTCACTTCCCTCCTCCAGCGCTTCTGTTTCACTCCTCCACCTGGAGTTAAAGAGGATGATCTGGATCTGACTCCATCTGTGGGCTTCAACCTCACCCCTTCACCTCATGAGCTGTGTGCCGTCAGTCGTGAGGGAATTAAAAATGAGTAGATTATTTAATAAGTAAATGGGGTAAAAATTCTTTATACAGCTGCACAAATCAAGCTGTTATAAAATCTGTATTCTACTTTGATTCATTTGGCGAAACATCAATGTGTTTAAAATAAGTCACCACAGGGTAGAGCTTACTGATTCATATATATATTAATATAAATTATTAGTTTCTTATCTTTATTAATGTATTGACTACTGTATTTCCATGCACTGCAAGAACACTGATTCTGATTGGCTGCTGGGGTTCCATTCAGTTCTGATAATGGAAAACAACTAAGTAGTTGTACTGCAACTGTCTCCAATTCTAGCGTGAGCGATATTCACTATTTAGAAAACTATCCCGAAGCAGTACACAAAGTGATCTAAAAAAAAAAAAACTATTTTCACCTTTGCACTTGACATGTAACCACTTGATATAGTCTTGGAGCAATTCTGTTTTGTTTTCTAATCTTGTTATATGTCTTTTGTTTTTGTAATTAATTCAATTTGCTGTCAACTGTATTGAGTGTTGTTGACTATGAACATTAATACGATTCAACACCCCCTCTTCTGTGAAACGTGTTTCTGGTTCATTAATAATTGTATCATTAATCCCTTTACTTTAACATAATAATAAGTGAATCAGCCAAATAAAATCACATCATAGGGTTTCAAAGTTGCACTTTTGTGGTCGATCCCTTCCAAACATTTTCCATAAATGTATCAGTCTTCAAGGTCCTTTGGTCAAAGTTGCACCTTTTCTTTTATCTTTGAACGTGCCTATGCCGCACCTGTGGGGGTTAACCGAAAATGTTAGGATTGGAACAAAGACTATAAAATTGAGATATTCTCAAAATGCATTCGCGCAAAGTAAAAAAAGAACGCTTTAAAGTGTAATGTTGTTGGGTGTGTTTGTGAACTTGTCAGGCTGACGCTACAACAAGTCAAACGTTTATCTCTCACCACACGCTGTTCACTCTATTAAAGCCTTTATTGTTTGCCTCAGTACTCTATGAAACACATATAGAGTCTCGCTGGCAGTTTTGTATCGTAATCATATACACTATCACAGACGTAATTTTCATTTTAATCTGGATCCTCCCGCTAATCCTAAATTGACAAACACAGACACACACCCAACAACATTTTAAAGCTTTCTTTATTTATTGTGCAAATGTATTGTGCTCCAATTCTAACAATTTAACTGTTGATGTGGAATAGGACTTTGAATGTTGAGGTTTAATTCACAGTTTGGTCATTGTTCACTGATCTCAGGGCGGTAAGAAGCTGATGACCCGGCGGCCCCGAGCACGGCTTCCCGTGACCCATCGCCGGCACTCTCAAGCCCGGCTCATGTCCCCCCGCCAGGCCGACCCCCGGAGGTTCCCCGGCCGCCCACCCGTCGTTCCATCCGACCCCCTGAAGTTCTCAGGCCGCCCGTCCGCCCTCCGTCCGCCGGAGTCCCCCTGGCTGCCCGACCCTCGTCCCCTTGTCTCTACCTCCCACCCTGTTACCTGTTTTCTGCCCGTCCCGCCCTCCGTCTTTTGTCCTTTGCCGCGTCATTGAATGTTCTACCCTGAATATTGTCACCCTGTGAGATCCTGGTCTGTGTCTGCGTTTTTCCCCCCCTGGTGTTTTGGATTTGGTAATTTATTAAAGGTACCTTTTATTGTCAAACTCTGCGTTTGAGTCCTACCTTGTCCGTGACAGATGCAGGGATCAATGGTGCTACAGTTGGACTTAGATTTAAAAAAAATGAAATAAACCAATTCAAAGCAGGAAATAAACCCAAATCGGGACAGTTATCTTTGAACATGCCTATCCCACACCCGTGCTGCCCGGATTCCTTTCAGTGGCATGTGAAGATAAGAGCTTGTTATCGCTGTAGGGAGGAAACATTTTAACAACAAATGGCACGATGAAGAAACATTTTAATAATTTATCTAAATCCTTGATATTGTTTTTTTTTGTATTAATGGAATGAAGGTGGAGGCAATGTCATTTCAGAATATTAACAACTATGGTGTGGTTTTACAGACTTTACTAAGGCCTTTTCAGTTTAACATGTATCAACGAATTACTTTCTAATCCCTTATTGGTTTCCCTAATTTTTATTTGTCCATTGATTTTTTTTCCTCTCCATCAGCTTCTTACGCACAATAATGAACGGACAATGATCAAATTATGAATTATGTCTGAAAATTGGTCTTACCTCCAAGTGTCAAAGTACTCTTCCACGTTAAGCGTGAACAGTAAGAGTAAGAAGTCAAGCAGAGACTAATACATTGAGCAGATCACTCTGTCTGGCCTCAATGATGACCGACCAGTTGCTCTCAACACTCATGTGATAAAAGTACCGTACTTGGCCCACCTTCGACCGCAGGTGAAAGTATCCCTGGAGCCTTTGCCATTTGCTTACCACCCTTATGTGGCAGCTGACGGCGCCATCACTTACCTGCCGGAGGATGAACACAAGTGTAACCGCATGTACTCAAGTAACAGTAAAACAGACTATCAAAATATGGACCATGACCAATGTGCGAAATCTGTTTTTTAGTATAATATTTTATAGTGTTCTTCTTTCCTGTATTTGTTTTTCATTATTGAAGATTGCTCATGACTAACCGTTATATCATAAATGTGATTGGCTGACCTGCTCATTCACAGTTAATGAAGAGCTCCACACAGCTGTTGTTCGCCTCGCTGCCAGTTTTCTATATTGTAATCATATACACTATCACAAACGCCATTTTCATTTTAATCCGGATTGTCCCGCTAATCCTATATAGACAAACACAGACACACACCCAACAACATTTTAAAGCTTGCTTTATTGTGCAAATGTATTGTGATCTTAATTTAGTAGTCTGTGCTCCAATTCTAACATTTTCTGTTAACTGTTGATATGGAATAGGACTTTGAATGTTGAGGTTTAATTCAGAGTTTGGTCATTGTTCACTGATCTCAGGGCGGTAAGAAGCTGATGGGGAGGAAAGAAAAATAATGGACAAATACAAATTACTTAAACCAATAAGGGATTCAAAAGGGATTCTTTTCTGTATTTGTTATTGGGGTCGTCGTGGCGCAGGGGGTCTGGTGCGCTGGGATCCGCAGGGTTGGTGGTTCAAGTCCCGGCTGCCACATGTTTAAAGTTGAAGTGTCCCTGAGCAAGACACTTAACTCCTAATTGCTCCCTGGGCAATATGTGAAAAAGCCATGGGTTTAAAGTGTAATGTAAGTCGCTTTGGATAAATGCGTCAGCTAAATGACCTGTAATGTAATTCATTAGTTCACATATGACCTATCGTTGGCTGACCTGCTCATTCACAGTTTATGAAGACCTCCACACAGCTGTTGTTAAAGGGGCAGGACTTCCCTGCGGAAACTGGAGTTCATAAGACTAAAAGATCTGCCTACAACTATTATATATTTATCCCGTCTGCTTACTTTTCACAAAGCTGTTCAGCTGAAAAGTTTCTTGGGAGGGCTGCGTTCCAAAAGTTACAATATGATGATGTTGGAAGATCTTTTCCAGTCCTACGTTACAGTAGCACTGATGGTGGTCCTCATGTGCATTCTTGTCTCTTCATTTGTTCTACTCCAAAGACCAGAGGAGGGAGCCTCCTGGACCTCAACCTCCTCCCCTGCTTGGTAACTTGCTTCAGATGGATCTCAAGAGACTGGACCGCTCTCTTGTTGATGTGAGGAATGTGTTTGTGAGCAAGATGATACGAGATTTGAATGGCAGGTGGCACACGTGTGTTTCAATCAAATGAGATTTGTATCCCTGTTTGCAATTAAAATGATTCTTTATTCTTTGTCCATGTTTAGCATTCAGTGTGATATTCTGGTATTTAACTACTATCTTTTTTTAAAGCTGTAATGATTACTGCTTTTTGTGTTTCATAGCTTTCCAAGAAATATGGATCGTTGTTCTCAGTGTATCTTGGACCCCAGAAAATTGTGATTCTGGCTGGATACAAGACCGTGAAGCAGGCACTGGTCAACCATGCTATGGAGTTTGGAGAGAGACAAATCCCTCAATTCGGCAATGACACAAGTACTTCTCTGAGTAAGTATAGGTATTTGTGATCCAGGTGGAAAGACAACGCATGCTTTGTTCCTCACAGAATTCAACTACTGAAGAAAGTGTAGTCATGTTACCTGAATACGTTCTTTTCCTTCTGCACTTTGTGCAAAGATCACTGAAACAAAAAAAGGTTCATGTAGTCATCATTCTATGTGCTGACATTTTTCTGGAGATATTGTAACCTGATTTGAATATAGTTTAAATAATATATCTTACAAAAACGATTGTTACCTATTTTTCTGTAGGAAATGGAATCATTTTTGCCAACGGGGAATCGTGGAAAGAAATGAGGCGTTTTGCTCTCAGCAACCTGAGAGACTTTGGGACGGGCAAAAAAGCAGCAGAGGATAAAATCATTGAGGAGATTCAGTATCTGATAGAAGTGTTTGAAAGACGGTAAGGTAACTAGTCTCCTTTATTGCATATGGCATTATTAAGTAATTCCTATTGCTGTTTTTTTTCATCATTCATTTTTGTTTGTAGGTCAACCCTTCATTACTGGCCAGTCAATAAACCCTGCAGTCTTTCTATCGCAGTCTTTGCTCAGTCTATGGCAGCAGATTTGAATACAGTGATAAAGAGTGTATTGGCAATCTTAGGTTTGCTGCCCCTTTAGCTGGCTCGTTGTTGTTCTTTGCCAACAGGCACAGGTGGGAGTGATGTTTCGACGCACACAAAAGATTTTCCAGCGATGATTGTCGTTGAGGTTTGTAATTTATTGCAGGCAATTGTATAAACAGATGAACATACCGGTTGAACGTGCTCCTATTGATGGTGGTCTGTCTTCGTGGTCTGGTGAGAACTGTTTGGTGCTCCCCTGTCCCTCTCTTCCTGTCACCTACGTCCTTTATGTACACCCAGGTGCACCTAATCACCGCCACCTAGTGTCCAAAGTGTCAATATAAATACAGTCTAACAAACAAAATATACTTTGCCAACAACAACACATGATGGCCCCTACACACCGGCCCCTAATTGTCTTTTATAATAATTACCAAAAAATAATAAGGGAATGTGCAAGCAATTAATTAAGGCAATTAATCCTCTTCAGTGATTCTTCGGTCTTCTTTTGAAGTAGTCATTTTTGGGGCCGGGGCTCCAAAACTTGGTATCTGGTGGTATCTGGTCCCTACCACCAGGCCTTACTAAATCTCAGTTTCTTTAATCAGACATATCTTCGTTATTGGTCTTTCCGATATGTTGGTTTTTGTCTGAAGTCGGACGATACGCACAAGGCCTTGTGCATCTGCTTTCGTCTCCAGTATTCTACCCATTGACCAGGAGCCTCGTGGTGCAGTGGAGTCGACCACCACAACTATGTCACCTGGGGCGAAGCTCCTTTTTACCTTTGACCACCGCTGTCGTTCTTGAATTAATGGTAAGTACTCCTGTGTCCACCTTTTCCAAAAGAGATCTGCCATGTATTGTACTT